CCACAGAAAATTCTAGCTACATGGTAAATGTTTTGGCAAACATACATGTATGTAGAAAGGTTAAAGAGACCCAAAATTTACAGTATACAAAATTTCGAGGGCCATAAACCTCATAAATAAATTAGTCAATTAGCCTCATTTTCCAAATCTTCAAAAAATTGTGAAACCCATAATTTACAGCCACTAAAAATTTGGTACTGTACGACATTACAGTTCATATACCAACCTCAAGTGAATTGTAAATGAAGTGAGATCCTGGTTCATTTGGGTCTACTCCATCTTCCAAGAATCCAAACTCATTTCCACTAGGGTCTAGTCCATCAGTGCTGACGTATCTCTTGATTGCCTTTGGTGAAGCAGAACGAACTTTAGGCAGTGATTCATAGCCTCGATCACTCTCAACGTAATTTCTCCTATCTTCCTCTTTAGCATCAATAGAACTTATTAGTAGACTTCTGATTAAAAATAACTTGTTAGCAATTATCAAAAGGTGAGGATAGATTCCTTCTTTTGATGCAACATGCTCAATGCATTCTTCCCGTGACATCTCCTCTGTCTCCTTGCACCCGTGATCTTTGAGAGGACATGTAACAATCATCTTAGGACATTGATTAACATGTGACTGGTACTACAAGGAAAAAAGTAATAATCACCTGACAGTTATGAATACTGAATAATGAGATTACCATATTTGGGTAAAATGTGTCATGCTGAATATGTATAGTACTATAGTGCACTGTGCAAGAATGTCATAAATGTCATGATGGCATCAGGTATATATAAGTTAAAAGCAACATTATAATGGTTACTTTGATCTGCAAGCAATTTTGTTTCCTCAAATAAAACAGTGTTCATACAGTGTTTTATTTCAACTAGCAAAATTGCAGATGCAGATGAAAGTAAGGCCACTATGAATATATTTATTGTTTCTCATCCCCGCCCGCACCGTAAATTGTTGCGCATGACAAATATTTATCACCCACGTGTACCCTAGGCAGCTCTGTACTGTACTGTGTGGCTGTTTCGTCGTCATTATCTCCTGGCTCTCTCCATGCTCAGAGTCCACTGACACGGTGGCTGTTGGGTCTTAAGAGTTCCTTGACACTGCAACACCTTGCTGAGGTTCATCTAAGCACAGAAGAATTGTTCTATAAAAGGCATCTTGCCAGTTTGGTGAGCAGACTAGAGCTAGTCTACTGTGGGAACTGGGAAATCGGTTACTATCAAAAGTATGCATGATTTATTACTGCATGGTGACTGCATGTTATTTTATGTTACATGTAGGTGTGGGATTATATACATGAAGAGAGTTTCCCTACTTGTACTGCTTCTATTGGTTTCTGTCATGTATTTAAGTATTACTGTCTGTAACGAAATCACTATTGTCCCTTGGACTATTATACAAGTAAGTTCGTTAATTTCTTGTTGTAGTAATCAATATGGCCCTTCTTTTAGCAAGAAGAAGACGTATCATTTTCAGCACTGTTTCACCATATCAAGAGTGGAGCTGTTTCTACTATCACACCATCTACATACCTTACAAGGTCTTCTCTTGTAAAAGTATCTGTTGGTCAATCAAGAGATGTACTTAATGTCGTTGAAATGGGCCACTCTGTTAATGGTGTGTGTAGTGTATTTGGATGTTTTATAAAGTTCGAAGTACAAATGATAATTAGTAATAGTGAAGTATGGATTACAGAGCAATCACTGGAAGAAGATGCACGACGTCTCAGTTAGCCTTTTGTCATGGATCTATGTAATACCCTGTGGTAGTATTGACGGACATCACAGTGTCTTTTCTAGTTGTAGTTGTTGTATTCCTGATTTATTTTCACCTTTTAATGGTTATAAAAAGCGAGAATTAAAGCATAGGAAAACATCAATTTATTGCTTGAGTATGCAACAAGTAGATGGATTGATCTGCACAGTGGAGTAATTTTAACCTGCACTACTTCAGTGAATTAAGTTGCTCTCTGCATTATGCATCTTACTTTACACACTCACTTTTTGATCCAAAAAAATTTTAGTTCATTAAATTTTTAAAATTCATTATTAAAAATTTTGATTATAACTAAGTATAGGTTATACACCGAGGTCGAGGTTTCTATGGGATTTATTTACCGAGGGACGCAGTCCCGAGGTAAATAAACCCATAGCAACCGAGACCGAGGTGTATAACAGACTTCTACCATGCCATATCTATAGCTAAGAAACTGCCCATGATTAGCAAGACTTTATAAAAGCACAAAGCCTCTTTACTTCTTTGTATCTTCTTAAAAGAAATGGGAAAATCTCTTCTCCACTCGCACCATGTGTGTACAGTAAAACATGCCCAGAACACGCCTTTCCAATACTACTCCACCCATTAATAAGTTTATCACATGGCCCAATGCTTTTGAGGCTCTATTTCTTTCTTTTCGATGTTCTTTGCTGCTTTCTCTGCTAAAATGATTACTCCAGACGCCATAGCTATGCTTCGAAGTAAATAATTAGAAACCTGTTTGCTCCCGGGCTGTCCGCGAGGTAAATAACTAAGAAAACCTGTTTGGAGACTTTAATAAGTTGGCTATATTTACCTCGGCGAGGTAAATAAGCGATTATATTTACCTCGTATGACGCAATCTGATTGGTCAATTGCAAATAGGCATGGTAGAATAACTATAACTAACTGCCCACCCGCCCGGCCGCCTTATGGATGAGAAACAATGAATTTAATTA